CCACATTGCTTAGAAGTAGGGGTGCTCACGGTTTGGATAAAAATCGATTCAAATCGAAAAGCTGAAAAATCGAATCAAATTGATAAAATAAACCGATTTTATTTGGGTTTGGTTTGATTTGGTTTTGGATTTTTGAAAACCGATAATATTTGGTTTGGTTATGGTTTTATTCGAAAAAACTGAAGATATAACCGAACTAAACCAAACTGATAAATTATATACATATATTTTATTAATACACATACTTAATATATTGTCTTTTTAAAACAATTTTAAAACCTTATATATGGTTTCATTAAAATATCTTTATAATTTACTTATTGAAAGTAAAAATGTCCAAGGTGAAAACATTTATCTTATTGAATTCATGTATATGACAATTCTTTGTGGGACTGGAAATGTTATTGTCTCTTCCTTCTAGGCCAAAATAGTAAATTTTAAAGTTTTATTCATAGTAAATTCAGTGATCACCAGTAATTTCATTCATTCTAACTATTTTTCGTTTTATATGAATTGTTGTCACTTTTTTACATTATGAATGAAATATTTCTTTTATTTTTGTGTATGGTTAATAACCGAATCAAACCAAATCGAAACGATAACCACCAAACCGATAAATATATATTAATATATTTGGTTTGGTTTGGTTTGATAATTTTAAAAACGATTAAATTGATTTGATTTTAATTTTGACTAATAACCGATCCAACCCAACCCAACCCGTGAACACCCCTACAGTTAGAAGAATTCACATTTTTTTTCAAACTTTATCCTTCTATACTACTTCATATTTAAAACCCAAAAGTTGCTAGTATGAAGTATCACTAATAGTGAATTATAAAATTTACAATTATTTAACTAATAAGATTAATTTATTTTCATTTACTTTTTAACAAAAAAAACAAAACTTCTTATTATATGTAGTGTGTATATCTTGACTAGAGCCGTCAATATGGGCTAGGCCTGTTGGGCCGGCCTGGCATAACCCGGGATTTAATAGGACTGGGCTAAAATTTTTGGAGCCCATTTAAAAGAAAGGCTTTTTAGCCCGACCTGAATAAGTCTGCTGATTTGTGGGGCTTGAGAAATATAGGTAGGGCCGGCCCGTGGGCTAATACAAATTAATTAAAAAATATAATATAATATTAAAATTAAAATTAAAGAGAATCCAAACTCAAAATCTATTTAATATTTAACTAATTGAAACCGCATATAAATTGCA